CAAGGCTAATTAGCTCTTCTGTTTAAGATCCAAAACTGATCTTAATTTATTTTTATCTGCCGCTACACCACCTAATTTAAAAGGTATAATTTTTTCTAAATATAAATAGTAAAATCTGAATACATGTATAACTACTGGCTATCTAGCCCTCACCGAATTCTTGTTTGGTTGTGGTCACACCATGTCCATCTGGCGTGACACACACCCCTGTTACCAGGGCATGTGTCACCCATTTACACATTCCTATTGATAAATACAGCAAAATATTTTAATACAGATTAGAAATCCTTAGTATATTTTAATATATAGTGCAAATGATTAGAAATCTTTAAGGGAAATTGAATTCTTTCAGGTTAATAGAAAAATAGTTATAATATACCAGATATCTGAAAAGTAAAAATTAAATACCAAGTTCACGCTAATTTGAGTAAGTTTTTTATTTACATGTATGCACATTTGTGATGTCGACAACAGTGTAAGTCTGCACCAAGTGCGCATATCGAGAAATTGACAAATGAAAACATCATTAAACCTTGTGGACGTGACCCATGCAAAGCTCGAAAATAGTCTCTAACATGCCAGACAACCAGATATAATACGCTTCATCACAGTTTTTGCAAACACCGCATCGAACCTGTTTCTTTTTAAGCTGAGCAGGTGCCTACTATAACGGAATATGACTATTCTTCGGTCTTCCACGCTTGCAATTGATGCTATCAGTAGTAACAATATGCACCATTATCTTAGCAAATTGGTCAACTAGGTGACGATGGTTCATTTAAGTGTGAGATATATACATATATAAAAGTATACTCGAAGTAGTAAAAACTATATATGTATTTTTTTCTAATTTAAGTAATGAAGTCAGATAAAGAGGTGTCCATTGTAACTATAGGCTGTAATCCTGTCATTCCGTAGAAATAGTGCTATTATTAAAAAAATAAGGTAATGTGTACGTTTCGTGCTAGTTAAAAAAGAAATAAGCTGAATGTAGATGTTACTTTTATGATAGCAGTGAAAAATTAGTACTTAGTCATATAGTTAAGCGGAACGAGTGCCGTAATCGTGTGGGCTATCTCTTCCAGCTTTAACACCAATGTATATATGACTGAACATCGAGCGATGCGAGGATGCAGTGCCGCAAATTTATACGGACATACTATCCAAAGATTCCTTACTCCTTTCGGCTCTCTGAACCATTTTACTAGTATTGAACATACTGCACCGTATACTTAAAAATTTCTAGCTAGGAAGAGAAGACAAGAAAAAGACTCCCGTACCCCATTTTCGATGAGTTTGTTCAAGTATGAACATTTTATGCTGCAAGCACGATCGTTGCGACACTGCTGAGAGCTCGTTTTTGTTTTCTTATGCATGATTTTCAAAATCAGATTTTGTGATAAACACACAGTTCTTACTGGCTGGAAGCACTTGAACACGATGCATATGGGTCTTAAATCAACATTCGATTGCAAGTTCCTCGATTGCCGATTTGCCTCCAAGTACCAAGAACTAACCATGCATTTGTTCAAGGTATTTGGGATAGTCGTGTGGATTTTGCTGTCGATAGTCAAGGTGGAGTCGAAAGTTGCTGTACTCGGTCGTCTTAAAAATGCGTACGTCAAGCTAACCAAAACAACGGATCCTGTTATAGATCGTCTCCAGAGCCTTTTACCTGAACATGATAAAGACTGGATTGATTTCAAGGAAGGAAAGACACTTGATCAAATTGCTGCGGAGTATAAATTAGAAATCGGAGAACTTGATGCCTCAGGACCCAGTAGTGAGGCGTATAGAGTAGTCTATGGCTATTTCATGTTCTTGAAGAAACTGAAAAAGGCAATCGGTAAAGACGACAAGGAAGCTCTCGAGTACGTGTATAAGCGACATGGTAACTTTCAAAAAGACCTTGATAGTGATATGAATAAACCAAAATAAACGTCCTGTACCTACACTTGTTTTCACTTTTTCATTATTTATTTGTTTGTGTTCGGTCGCAAATTCGCGCTAACACAGCGCCACCTGCAATTCGATCTGTAAGTGCTTAGGTGATCGGAAACTCATTGTTCCAGCTTTCTTCGCTGCTAAGTCAGGCAATGGACACAATAAATTACCAGCTCATGATTACCTATGCTTATGATTTTGCTTGTTTTGCGTTACATCAAAGTAAATTTAAAGTTACAGACAATAGTATGCTATATCCATCTTTAAACGTAACGTTTTTCCAAAGAATAATGGATGCATGTGCAAAGCTGAATGAAAATTAGAAGGGATCTCATCTGTGACTCATAGTACCAAGTCGCAAAAACGTATGGGATACTTCTTAAGAAAAAGTTTTGTCCTATGTATTAAATAAAGAGGTGTTTCGAGTAGTCTAACCGCTTATATTCATCAAAACCATCTTCGATTTTCGACCCGATCGCAAGTATTTTATAGTCGGTAGCATTCTCATTCGACTGATTGACTTACTGACCTTTTTCCTCAATTTCACGCACATCAGCTTCCTAAAAAGATAACGGTATGCAAGACGAATTGATAAATTCGTAATTTATAACTCATGCATCCGATATGAACATTTCTAGATATATTTGAGATCGAAGCAGCAAAAGCTATATCGTTCGGGCGCACCATGAGTCCATGACTGTGGGGACAGTCAAAATACTTTACCATTTGATCAATCCATTGTTCTTACTAACTGGTGAGCTTAAGGCAACGCCTACGAACTCTCCTTTGGCATAATGCACACGACCA